TCCTCCAGCAGGAGACAGCAGAAGGGGCTGAATCCGTTCGGGGGAGCAGATGGAGTGACAGCCCCACGGTTTCTCCTCCGAGGGGGACCCGATAAGGTCTCTGCGCCGGCAGCCGTCCCCGGACCGACGGGCAGTCCCGGCCCTCATCTCCACCCGGAAAGGAGCACGTTAAAAGCTCGTACGCTGACGGGAGCCCGAGAGTAAACAGGGTCTGCCTGCGCACTGGGGAAGACCGGAGCCAGAAGCAGGCGCTCCTCCTCGGATCGAGTCCAAATCGCCAGCGCAGAGCCACCGACAGAGGTGCAAGGACCCCACCGGCGGGTTTCGCATGTGCGCTCCTCCGGGCAGAGATGAGCCAGGACGGTGACACCCCCAGCGACGCGAAACACCGGGCTCCTCCCGCTCAGGACCCGGCCCGGCAGGCAGCCCGCGCTGTCCCCCGTGGGAGCCGTCCCCCGTGGGAGCTCCCCGCCGCGGGCTCACTCTCAGCCCCGCGCCTCCCCCGGAGAAAGGAGCAGGCAGAGCAGCTCTGCCGTTGGCCGCAGCGCCGGGCTGATCCGCTGTTGTTCCCGCAGCTCCGACACCCCCCGCTCCGCGGAGGCAGGCTGTGCCTGCTGGCAAAGCGGGCAGCGATGTCAGGATGCCCTTCAACAAGCCACGGGAGCTCGCAGCTGCTACGTGGGGACAGCGGGACCAGAGATAACTAAAAGGAGCCCGGGAGAACAATCTCGTAAGCAGGGGATTTCTAGATTTCAGCGAACCCCACGAAAATCCTCATTACCCACATCAAGCCACAGAAATGCGGACTCACAACGTGCCATTTACTATATCGTCGGCGCAAGAATTCGCCTCTTGAATGCGAGGGCGGAGACTGGTCTATTTAACCCCAGTTAGAGACCACCGGGCTTGGCGGAAGATGCCGGGGGGACACCGGCCCCGCTCGTGTGGCGGAGCAGCTCCGAGCCGAGCACCCGGCATCTCTCGCAACTCCTCCGGCAGCCGTGCCGGGCATTTCCCTACCTGTAAAATCCCCGATTCTGAGGCTGCAACA